GATTTTATTCAATGTAAAGATTTCGAAAATGTAGATTAATCCACAGGGTCATCAGTTCACGCGGTCATCTTAATTATCAAATGACAGTCATTCAAGAAATTGGACCTTGGATGATGACTGATGTTTTTAGGGTGGATGCTGACATAAATTACTTTCCCTGTCAAGGTGTCTTCACAGCTCACTGCACATCATTCTGAGATTTTTCCTGGATGGCTGTCCACCAAATCAATCAGTCCTCATAATCTGACATATTGACTCTCGTGGGAGTGGTCCCAGGAAATGGTTGCCCTTGGGAATCACTCTCCTGACAAAACCAAAACATATTCTCCACTACCAGTGTGTACAGATATCAGATCAAACCAGTATGTGAGGAGAATTCCACAATTTGAGACAAACGGATTATGTAGGATATATAAGGAATTCAACCGCAGTGGTATACTACTGAGGAAGTAATTTTAATTTGTAAAAAAACTAAAAAACATATGAGTTAACTAACAAGCTGATAATAAAAATGGGCTTCTTCGATAGAAATAGGTAATGCCTCTTGAATAATAGTAGAAAACATATTCATACCGGTTCTAGATTATAGCAACATCATCTACAGGAGGGGACAATGATGGCAAACAATGATCAGCTAGGGGGAAATCCGATTTTGATGTTTATATATTTAGAATTTTAAAATATATGCAACGAATTTACCACCAACAGGTTTCTGTGCCAATGCACCACACAACCAATAAGCAAAGAATACCGACTTCAGGCGCTTCAACATAATGGTTTGCGTTTTCAACAACACAATCTTGACAAACAGAAAATACATCCTACCCAGTATCGAAGGCATGGCTTGACAATCTCAGAATGTAATAAAAATGTGTGGTGTTTTGTAATAATGTCTCTTTCCCTTCATCAATGTCCACTGCACAGTTTGTATATCTTGGACGAATGTGAGCAGGTATTCTACAGGATACCTTTTAAGTAGCCTAATCAGATTAAAACATTGTGACTGGTTGTGCTTATGCCACACATAAAAGGTCATACAATTTCAAAGTTAAATTAGAAATATTTAGGCTATATTGAAGCGTTCTAGGTGCGCGAGGAATAGCCGCTCGGATCGGAGAGGAGGCAGAGCCATGTTAAACTTTCCTGAATAACTGGGCCTGCTGGGAGGATATGTGGGCAGACAGAATGCAACCAGACAGACTGGCCTGCCACTGTGCCTGCCACCTTATAAACTCTTGAAAGTAGACCAACAACTGATCCAAATGGAATGAAGGGAATGAAACATTCAAATCATAGGGCTTTTGTGCCTTTATTTAAATGTCATTTTACTGAGTTACAGTTCAAATAAGGAAACCGGCGATCATGCCACTCTCAAAGTCTCTTAGGTCACTCGTTTTGCCCATTCTAACGTTCAATCGAACAGTAACTGAATGCCTCGATGCCTGTCTGCCTGCTTTATATAGCAAGCCACGGCCACGTGACTCACGGTCTGTAGGAGTTTATGGGATACCTAATATTTCACGCCACTTCCGTTAGTTTTTTCATTTATTGTATTAGTTTTCATGCATAAGTTTAAAGTACATAATTTCATCACTTAAAGACATATGTTACGTTTTAGCAGAAGGAGGCTGCATACATTGACTGCTGACGCAGTACCACACAACATAAGCCATATAGAGTATAGACATAGGAGTACCCTAGTACATACAGTTGAAGTCAGAAGTTTACATACACCTTAGCCAAATACATTTCAACTCAGTTTTCCACAATTCCTGACATTTAATCCTAGTAAATATTCCCTGTTTTAGGTCAGTTAGGATCACCACTTTATTTTAATAATGTGAAATGTCAGAATAATAGTAGAGAGAATGATTTATTTCAGCTTTTATTTATTTCATCACATTCCCAGTGGGTCAGAAGTTTACATACACTCAATTAGTATTTGGCAGCATTGCCTTTAAATTGTTTAACTTGGGTCAAACGTTTCAGGTAGCCTTCCACAAGCTTCCCACAATAAGTTGGGTGAATTTTGCCCATTCCTCCTGACAGAGCTGGTGTAACTGAGTCAGGTTTGTAGGCCTCCTTGCTCACACACGCTTTTTCAGTTCAGCCCACAAATGTTCTATAGGATTGAGGTCAGGGCTTTGTGAATGCCACTCCAATACCTTCACTTTGTTGTCCTTAAGCCATTTTGCCACAACTTTGGAAGTATGCTTGGGGTCATTGTCCATTTGGAAGACCCATTTGCGACCAAGCTTTAACTTCCTGACCAGAGGACATTTCTCCAAAAAGTACGATCTTTGTCCCCATGTGCAGTTTGAAATTGTAGTCTGGCTTTTTTATGGCGGTTTTGGAGCAGTGGCTTCTTCCTTGCTGAGCGGCCTTTCAGGTTATGTCGATATAGGACTCGTTTTACTGTGGATATAGATACTTTTGTACCTGTTTCCTCCAGCATCTTCACAAGGTCCTTTGCTGTTGTTCTGGGATTGATTTGCACTTTTCGCACCAAAGTATGTTAATCTCTAGGAGACAGAACGTGTCTCCTTCCTGAGCGGTATGACAGCTGCGTGGTCCCATGGTATTTATACTTGTGTACTATTGTTTGTACAGATAAATGTGGTACCTTCAGGTGTTTGGAATTGCTCCCAAGGATGAACCAGACTTGTGGAGGTCTATAATATTCTTTCTGAGGTTTTGGCTGATTTCTTTTGATTTTCCCATGATGTCAAGCAAATAGGCACTGAGTTTGAAGGTAGGCCTTGAAATACATCCACAGGTACACCTCCAATTGACTCAAAATATGTAAATTAGCCTATCAGAAGCTTCCAAAGCCATGACATAATTTTCTGGAATTTCCCAAGCTGTTTAAAGGCACAGTCAACTTAGTGTATGTAAACTTAGTGAATTATAAGTGAAATAATCTGTTTGTAAACAATTGTTGGAAAAATTACTTGTGTCATGCACAAAGTAGATGTCCTAACCGACTTGCCAAAACTATAGTTTGTTAACAAGACATTTATGGAGTGTTTGAAAAACGAGTTTTATTACTCCAACCTGTGTATGTAAACTTCTGACTTCAACTGTATAAGTACCGTGCAAATTCAGGCAACACAACTGATGCACATCACATCTAACATGCCAGCCATGACAACACAGTTTTTGTTATAATATACACCGAACAAAAATATTAACGCAACATAAAACAATTTCAGAGTTACAGTTTATCTAAGGAAATCAGTCAATTGAAAAAATACATTAGGCCCTACTCTTTGGATTTCACGATTGGGAATACAGATATGCAACTGTTTGTCACAGATACAGTACCTTAAAAAAAAAAGTAGGGGCGTCGATCACAAAACCAGTCAGTATCTGGTGTGACCACCATTTGCCTCATGCAGCGCGACACATCTACTTCGCATAGAGTTGATCAGGTTGTTGATTGTGGCCTGTGGTATGTTGTCCCACTCTTCTTCAATGGCTGTGCGAATTTGCTGGATATTGGCGGGAACTGGAACATGCTGTTGTACACGTCGATCCAGAGCATCCCAAACAGGCTCAATGGGTGACATGTCTGGTGAGTATGCAGGCCATGGAAGCTTGCAGGAATTCTGTACAGATCCTTGCGACATGGGGCCATGCATTATCATGCTGAAACATGAGGTGATGGCCGCAGATGAATGGCACAGACATTGGGCCTCAGGATATCGTCACGATATCTCTGTAAATTCAAATTGCCATCGATACAATGCAATTGTGTTCGTTGTCCGTAGTTGCCCATACCATAACCCAACCGCCACCGTGGGGCACTCTGTTCACAATGTTGACATCGGCAAACTGCCCTCCCACACAACGCCATTCATGTGCCCAGCTAACAAAATTAAGTTCCAGGACGTGACCAAAGTTATTTTCATCCCTACATAAGTCATGATAACGTTATTGTGAAACGTTCCTTCTACGTAGCTGTGGTGTCCGCTGTCAAAACTTAAGTCCCAAGTATTTTCAGGACGTAGAAATGTGGGGGATTATAAACAGTTAAATAACATTTAAACCACTGCGCCACTCGGGAGGCCCTTTAAGACATGTCACAGTATCCTGTCGGTAGGTGTCCACTGACGAAATATGCACAAATCTTAAACTGTATCACAATAGATTTGTAAACAAAATCACAGCAATAAGCTCACAAAATAACAAGTCAGTAAAAACATGAACACTGCACTCCAATCAAGAACTGTAAAACTGCTTAAAGCTAAAAGTTAATAACCATGTTATGTTTATTCAGGTGCTGCTGCTCCATCCTCATCCACTGCCGCTTCCTCGACCCGCTCCTGGAAGTCACAATAACAGAAATTGGTCATTATTTTCCATAAACAAATGATCAAAATGCCGGTTTAACGCCGACTCCCTACTACATTCCTTTTGTACTAGCACAATAATTTACCTATACTGACCGACTGGATTAAAGTGAAGTAAAACATTTTTTTTTAAATCACTCTTGAGCCGAGCTGGTGCATGTTTGAGAGCGTCTGCTATTTTGTCATCAACCTATTGGTAGGTAGCCTTGGGGTGTGCTTTCAGGGACGCTCCCATGTTGTGAAACATAATTGAAATGGTTCATTCCATGTCATATCACTACTTTTCCACCTATGCTGGCTGAGACAGAGATTGGGTATTGTCCCTCTCGTCCCTCATAGGCAGTTTTGGCCATGAGACCTCTCTCCTTCACCTTTCCTTTGTCCTCTCTCGCCGATCTTAACCAGGTGGTAGGATTTCACATTTCGTTTTTAACTGTCTTGTTACTGATTTAATTCATTTGAAATGTTAATAAATACACATTTGACTGACCATCACTTGACCAATAATACTATCTACTAAATAATAACAAATAACGATCTAAACTTGTGCATTTACTTACTTGTGACAGCATCATAGATTGATAGCTCATTAAAGACCCTCTTCCCCTTCCTGCCCTTCAAGGAGTAGCCTGTCCACAGCTCCTCTGTTCAAATTTTTCTCATCATTCGTCTGATTCCTGAGCCCAGGTCCAGGCCACAGCAGAGGGTCAGATATCGGATCTGATAAAAAAAAAAAAATCCCACTCATTTGTGTGTTCCTCAGCTAAAACAGCTGGCCATACAGTTCTGATTGATGAGAAATCATTTTTGTAGTGTATCATGTAATCATGGGCTAAAACTTGTATAAACAGGCAGAGGGCTGATCGTTTCTTCTTAAGATAAGTTAAGTGTTAATTGGGAAATCAATCCAAACACTAAATAGGCATATGGCATATATGACAACTGCATTTCGTTGACATTAAGATATTTGGATTCAATAATATTGCAGGTTGCAATCTTGTCTCAACTCTGGACGCATTCAAGGGGCTCTTGATAAACAGCTAACATATTTTTGTCAATTGCTGTTAAAATAATTGATGTAGATTTCATCCCTACCATTTTCTTTCGACAGTGGGAGTCTTTAAGTGTTTCACAGATATCCTTCAGTTCCCATTTGTTTCTGCAGGGTTTTGCAGCATTTCAAGTTGCCCCAAGGATTCCGACTCCTTTTTCTGCCGGGCCTCTATGGCCTCCATAACTTGGTTCAGAGAAATCCTGAACTCTGTATGGATCATCTCCAGTTGCACCATTATCCTCATCTCCACTGCTTGAAGATCTGCAAAATAATACAGACTCAACAGTTTAGCTGCAAGCAGCGTGACGATACAAGCCATGACTACCAGGCAGGACATTTTCAAGGCCATATGCAATACCTCGATCAAAATATCCACCCTTCATATATATTAGTAGTATTGATAACCATATAGCTGCTGACAGCCATACAATTTGGAATTTATGTTGATAATACAAGAGAAGCAACATTTTGTAACATATAGGCTAACATAATATACCTTTAATGTATCCAGAGGGCATCTCAGAAGCCACAGGCTCATCAAGCAGGGATGGCAGCTCTTGGTCTAAAATATAAGTAAAAAATCATGCTGTTATTTAAACTTTCTACATTTACGATTTCGAGATACATATCTTGATGGCTAAAGAAACCTGATTCTGATGCTCTGTCTTGGCCAGCTTCTTCCTGGCTGCCACTTGGACTAACTGAGAAAACAGAAGGAAAAAAATTAAGACATACTTTGCATGCTTTTGAAACTGGCAGAGAACAAGTGAAGGGTTGTCAGTCAGGAGCTCAGTGGGAAGGTTAATGAATCCCAACAAAAATAAATGCTAAGCATAATTTTTTGTTTTAAATAATGCTTTTAGTTTGATGGCAAATACATACAGATATTTACAAACATAGCATCACACTTGTGTTTTACCCCATAAGAATATGGTGATTTCACTACTGTTTAAATACAAGTTTCACCCATACACCACAAGTATTTGGAAAATTCTAACAGTATGTACAAAGTAGTAATAAGACTTTAAATAACCTAATTTGCAAAAATGTGATGGTAATTGTATTCTATTGAGTGGCTTTGAAAGGTTTGTAAAGCTATAATACTTCATACAATTCAATTGTTTACCCTAACTGTCATGAATCCCGCTTCCTGAGTCTGTTTCTGCCTGTGTTGCCTGTTTTCTGTCCTGGAGTCTGTTTCCTGAGGTTCCTGAACGCACCCTGTCTGGTTGCCAGGCGACGAAGCTAGGCGCGAGAGATCTCTCTATTACCCGCACCTGCATCTCATCAGCTATCTGCACACCTGGTCCTGATCATCCTCTCCACTTCATAAGCTCTGACCTGACATCCATTCCCTGCCGGATCGTTAGCCATGAACAGTATGTTGTGTCAGCGTATCAGCCTCAAAGTCACTAGAGTTAGTTTTGTTGTTTTGTACTTTTTGCTTGCCGTGTCCTTACCTCCGTTTACTCTGTCTACAGTTGTTCTCCCGGAACATTCACTCCACCCTTGCCTGGTCGTCGGTGGCTTCTGTGACAGCATTGGATCTGCCTATTCACTTCCACCAACTCACCTCCGCTGCCCGCTCCGTCTCCTGGATTTGTTGTCATATCAACTGTCATTAGGTTATGATTTCATGCCGTCTCAATTTAAGACTAGTACTTGCATTAACTGTAAGCTTTTCTTCATCCACATACTTGAATGTGTGTCAAATTTACCATCAACTTGCTGATTATACATTTAATGACCTAGTATCCTAATGCAGGATCTTACCACTAGGGGCTGGTGGAATCTGGGGCACTGTAAGCTGGGCTTGTCTGGGTTCATTTGTCTTTTTCTGGAGTGCTTCACTTCCATCATCATCTTACGAAGCACAATTTAAAAACATAGTCATTTATTTCATCTACTTCCTGATGCACATAATACACACAATGGAATAAGAGTAGTTAAGAAATCCTCACCAGATGGCTCTACACGGAATCTGATTGATTTAGTCACCGCCCTCTTCGCTGGTTCCTCGTCAGATTCAACATTGGAGGTGTCAACCCCCCGTTTGGCTCATTGCTCTGCCACAGAGTAATTTTCTGAACGTGCAATAAACATAGTCATAAATACTTTCCTATTAACACTGGCAAAAAAGGGTATTGAGTATATGTAATTTACATAGTTATACTTTCAGCAAATACATATAGTACTTAAGATGGGGAAGTTACTGACTCTACTGACCAGGAGTGGTTTGCACCAGTTAGACGCTAATAAGGTGTAAGAGATAAGTTGGGCCTACCTACGCCCGACATAATGATTTAGAAAATTGAACAAGATGCGACATGACTAGTCATGAGACACTTACCTTGGAAACTAGTTATAGATTTATACTATACGTCTACCCAACATTACACTTAGTTTTTACACCCTGGCATAGCAAAAGCTATTACTTACAACCAGGTGGTGACACAGGTTTACGCCTGGCTTAGAACATATTCTACGTTGGAACTAGCCTTACGTATAAGAGTATGTTCAACTGATGCAACCTGCTCCAGAGCCACACAACCAAGCATACATTGCAATATAAACGGAAGTGGATGGATGCAGTAAAATATTATTTTACCAGTGGATGAAAAGATGGAAATTCTGTACTTCTCCCATAATATTTTGTCAGGCTGGTCTCCTCTCTTAATCATTGTTGCGCTGGCATTTCTTGGCCAGTAGCAACACAGGACCTGCAAGATATGAGACACTGTTTAACGTTAACTATTTATCCATCTCTTTGCCTGAAAAGGGTAAACCATTTAACTGATCAACTCACCCCATCTCTCTTCTCCACCCACTGCTCTGGTACAACTTCAACAGTGTTCTCTTTTACAAAATGTACAACATAATAACGCTGTGTGCCCTGTGCAGAAAAACAAAACACCAATTCCACACTGTTCAGTCTCTTGATTTACCAGCCAAGATAGTTTTCAAAACTAATACAGCTTGTGAACTCGGCTGTAGCTAAATGGGGCTTTCTACAGGCTGTGCAAGATGGTAAGCACAACACGAGTGCCATTGTCCTCCTCAAGTATAATAGCTAGCTTAACAAGACTGCTCTTTGCAATGAGACGCATTTGTGCGCTCCTCGTAGTGGTGTGGAAAGTCCAATACAGTCTTGAGTCACAAGGACTCAGCATGTAAGATTCCAGATGCTGAAACACCCTGCAGAGGTAAGTATCAGAGGCATCTTCGCTCACTACCTCACAGCATGACCTATCATTAAGTATGTTGGCATTGTTTGGCCATCTCATTTTGATGACCTGTTGGCGGGGAGAAGCTCTAACTGTGCGTTCTTGCACTCTTTTACAAATTTGCACAAGTGGCCGCCTCCCTGAACAGACCAAGTAGTTCTCAAACTTGAAAGCACTACAGTTGTCAAGGCAGCCATGTTCTTCAGCATCAGCAGTGAGGTGTAGGAGGGAGTGAACATTATACACAAGAAATGTGTCTCCATACAAAACCCTTCCCTGCTCCACAAAGAAGTTAAATAAAGCATGAGCATAGGCACTGTGGATTTAAGAAATTTGAGGAGAAACCAAAATGCACATGGCCACATTGAAGGCAATGAAGTGTGTGTACTGTTCTTTAGACAAGATTCTTCTCAGCACTACTTTCCCAGTATAGAGTAGAAACTGTCTGAATTATGTGGCCTTCCAACGGTCAAGGTCATCCAATCCCTGTGGTTTGCGAGCAAAGCAGTCTGGAATTGAATCCTTTAGTCGGTTTAGTCGTTGACTGACCTCCTTGACTTGCACCAACGAAAACCTGGCCCCAGTCTTTCCCCTAGTCCACATCATCAAGAGCTTCCGGGTTACTCTGAGGCAACAAAGGTGCATATAGTCAATTGGGAATGACTTCACCATATCAATGGGGAGGATGCAAAAAGGACAGGTTTTCCCTTCATGGTGATGTTCTGGCTGTACCAATTCCCTAAAGGATTTGTCAGTTCTGAGCCTTTTTGTGTGCACCTGTCACAGCCATAGTAGCCAGAATACATCTTTATGCATTTTACCATGGCTTTTGCAGGTGCATCACATGTTACAGAACAAACTTTCACTTGCAGTGTTGTGTCTCCCCACTTCAAGCCAGTCTGCATCAACTCTTTAAGCTCCAGCAAAGTGTCATTGAGGAATTCCAGGGAGCTTGGTTTCGATGATGCCATTGCAAGTGACAGAGGAAACACTGTGGGTGGTGATAGATTGATGGAGCACCACGACATATTGGTACTTTTGAACAAAGGGAGACCATCCAGATTAAGGGATATTTCTAAAACATTCAAATCTCCAACCACAGATTGAGGATAGATGCTTAGATGTTTCACTAACTCCACCTTCACTTTAAATCTGACAAACTCCACATTAGACTTGACTTCAACAAAAACATTGGTATTTTCTAGGAGAGTTCTAGCAGTGGAAGGGTGACCATTAGACTGCAGCATCTTCAGAAGTGCATCAACAGCATTGTGTTTCACTTGGAAATCACTTATCCAGGTTGCCAGGTCCTCTCTGAAGGTAGAATCTTTTTCAACATAATCATTGTCAGAGTCAGTTGTCTCCTGAATTGCACAACCAGCATTGGCTTCATTCTCTGAATCTATGTCACTGTGTGATGGCAGTCTTGGCTTAGTACCACCTACTGCCTCATGTTCACCATCTGACTCTTCCTCAGCATGTGTTGTCAGTCTTGGAGGAGTACCTTCCACTGCCTCAACTTCACTATCTGACTCAATTTTGCTCTCAGATTCAGTAGAACTGGTATCTACACTCTTCGTGTCAGACTGGCTGATGAGACTAGGTCCACTTTCATTGTCATGGTCTTCCTTCTCTACCCTTTTTTTTTTCTCCCTTGACAATTGAGTCCAGATTCTATTGTATTCTCTCTTTCTTGAAGTACTTGACATCTGTGTTACACCAGCGGATTTAACAGTCTGAAAATGATTAAACAATGATATGACAATGGCTCTACACATACAGTACAAAATGAAATTGGACTGCATTACTTGTCCATTTAAAATGAACAACCAGTTAGACAACACATTGGTATACCTTTTTTGAAGACATTTTCAATCTTCAGAACACTAAGTAAAGAAACATTAATAACATGAATCTCTACTACACAAGACGTTATCCATAATATCCATCTTGAATCAGAACTTAAATGAGGAAAGAGGTGACTACAGCTTCTCCGGCTATCGTGACACTGCAAGGCATTTGAATAATGTTGGTGTTATAGAATGGATAATTTGCACTTTTCATTATCTGGATTGTGCAAATTTAGACAGCCCTTGTATGTATGTATCAAGCCATATTATGCATTATATTTTTTTACACGCTTATGCTAGTAATAGACCAAGAACATTTGTCAATGTTGTTCTTCATCAGGACCTAAGAACACGATTACTGAACCCTGTAACACAGGCTGTGGTTACACTCGGCACTATCCAAGTAACGTAGCTAGGCTAAACTATCTATTAGCCAACTGGCTAATTAGCTAACTGGCAAGCTTCCTCGCTAGTTAGATAGCCTGACATCATCAAAATGTCTTTATCTGGGGAGCTGGGAGTACAATAACTTACTTGGTTTAAATAGTACACGCTGGATAACTTACCTTTCGTGAAAACTTCCAAGAGGTGAATTGTGTTCGGTCAGTCGGAGTCGATGGCGTCTTTGCTGTTCAGCTGTGTTGTTTCACTTTTACCAATTAGTACCGTAGGTGTTTCTTTCTGGCTCCAGCCTCATTATTGTTAGTTGCCACACCCACTTTTATATTTACAATGACGGATAATGGAGTCAAAAGGAATATTCAGGATGAACCATCGTCAGGCCACCACTACTGATTTTTAAAAATTATTATTATTGTTATAGGCTATATTCATAAATTAATATAATAAAATATATTATTTTTAGGTATCGTTCCCTCTTCCATAGGCCTATACTGAGGTCAAAATTACATTATGAATTTCAATACATTTATTAAATCGGTAGAATTATGGAAAAATAAATTGCGGAGGGGAAGAGCTGGATCCACTTCCTTTACTCCAAGCACAAGTATGCTGGCCCCAATATATTGGGATCTAAAGTACTTATTTAGAACGTAACAAATGTTCCTACACACTTAAAAAGACAACGCTACAAGTGTACCACCACTTGACTTACAGACGACGTTCCAAAATGTATTTCTATCATTCCGATTGTAACGTTATATGAAGACAAAAAACATAGCTCTATATGTAACGTTATGAAATGTTCCTAGGATATCTCCAAAATAACATGATATTCAGAACCTTTCATGGACTACCAAGAAATATTTTTAATGTTCCCATGATGTCTGTATAGCGACCAGTTATTTATAACCTATATAATACTTATTAGAAATGTTATGAATGTGCCTATAATGTCCCAAATGGGCTATGACATTCAGTACCTCTTGAAGACGTAAGAGGAATGTTACAAATGTCTCAATTACGTTCCTTGTTAGCTGGGTGGTCTGCGGTTTTGAGGCTGGTTGGACATACAGCCAAATTTTCTAAAACGACGTTGGCGGTGGCTTATGGTAGAGAAATGAACATAAAATTATCTGGCAACAGCTCTGGTGGACATTCCTGCAGTCAGCATGCCAATTGCATGCTCCCTCAAAACTTGAGACATCTGTGGCATTGTGTTGTGTGACAAAACTGCACATTTTTGACAGCCCTTTTATTGTCCCCAACACAAGGTCCACCTGTGTAATGATCATGCTGTTTAATCAGCTTGTTGATATGCCACACCTGTCAGGTGGATGGATTACCTAGGCAAAAGAGAAATGCTCACTAACAGGGATGTAAACAAATTTGTGCACAACATTGGAGAGAAATACGCTTTTTGTCTGTATGAAAAATGGGACCAACACTTTACGTATTGTCTCTAAACAAGATCAAAAGGGTAGCTTTTTGAGCTGCTTGACTCATGTCTTCACTGTTCTCTCCGCTGCCTATCAGCTATTGCTCTTTGTTCTTGTGGATTTATATAAAAAATTGGTGCAGATTTGAATTATTTTATGTGTGGTATGATTGCTAGCCTATTGGAGATCTGGACAAATGAGCCAACTACCGCTATTGTCACTATGAATGGTGGATAAAGTGCAGGATATACATTTAGACTGGTAGACTATATTGACCTGTGGTATATTTAGCGTGGAAACTCAAAATGTGCCTTTCGGCAATTACATTTATTGGTAGAGGACCTCTTCACTGAGGAATGTGGTTGTTTTTTATGATTAAAATATATTTTTGTGCGTTTCCTAGGCTCCTGCCATGGTCGTGGAATTTCTTGGTCTTGTAATGCAGGGCTCCCTCGAAAAATGGGAATCCCCTGTTTAAATAAAGGTTAAATAAAAAATAAAGTAGAGCATACACATCAATGTTAAATCTCCCTTTGGCAACTCTGCAGAGCTCCCTAGTTAATTTTGAGTTCAAAGAAAGCCTTTCCCTCTCTCCCAACAGTAGTGGTTACATGTACAGCCCCCAAGAGCAAACACACAGCACACAGAAGCCAAACAACCAACCTCCAGCTTGAAACAATACAAGCCCCCTACGTCTCTGTTTCAAGTGTAAGAGGCTTTCATTCCCAATTTGCAGTGACATTACGAGTCATATGATCTTTGTTTGCAAACAGGCTAAGGTCAGATGATTCACAGTCTCGTCTTCTGAACAAGCATCTGGCAAGGTAATCCGTCAATGCGCCTCGCGCTGCAGCGGCTCCAATCTCTCCACCTTCTGATGCCAGCTTTCTACAGAGTATCTTCAAACCCAAAAAGCAGGTGTTTACTGTGCATACCACAGGTGGCTGGTGGGGCTCATAGTAATGGCAGGAACGGAATTAA